TTAATAATTAAAGAAATAGCCCTCCATATCCATGGGTTTTTCATCCATGGAATCAACCCACCATGGCTCAAAAATGTGCAAGAAAAAATCCAAATGGCAAACCTTGACCACCAAGCGCTACAATGATATAGCTTTCCACCATTTCAGCACTCATTGGACTTGCTCACCATTTCATACCATGGCCTTGCATAGAATGGGCCCTGACATCTACCATGCGGCGTTTCCAACCTTTGCCGTTCATGCCTCCAGCCCTGATGGCTTGGCCCACAGCAGATGACCACTAAGTCTGTGCCAGTAATTCAGGGAAACAAGCTTGTTAACGGGACCTTTCCCTGACGAGGCCTGCGTTTTAATTAGTTCTGCTAGAAGACCTGCGTTTGATGGAGCTGCGGAGGACCAGGGCACTGGAGCAGAAGAGGCTGAGCAAAAAATAAACCCGTCCGACTCAACCGTTCCTGATTTGCAACATCTGAGGCCGACAAGCCCAGTGCGAGGGATGAGGGCAGTCAGGCCTGAGCACAAAACAACACGCAGCTCTTTTCATCTGGAAAGAAGTGCAGACTTGAGAACAATTGTTGTTTCTGCCTGGATCTGACAACCCTTGCCAGGCAGCCCCTTTGGAGCCTTCTCTCCACTTTGCTAAACACACCAGAACATACACTCTTCCCCTACCCTGACGCCAGGCTCCAAATGATAATAGGATCGGCTTCCATACAGTTCCATATTCCAAATGCCACTGCCGTTGTCTCTGAGGGAGAGAAGAGGAGCCAGGCACAGCTTTACTGTGCCACAGCCCTTCCTTTCATCTTACAACCGAGGGAGAGATGAGCAGCCCATATCTCCTCTTCCTCCCACACTGCCTTCCACTCATAGAATCCTAGAGTTGGAAGAGACCTGGTGGGCCATCCAGTCCACTCCCATTCTGCCAAGAAGCAGGAAAGATGCATTCCAGGCACCATCCATCCTGTTCTTTCAAAGCTTCCAAAGAAGGAGTCTCCACCACAGTCTGGGGAAGAGAGAGTGTTCCACTGCTGGACAGCTCTCTCTTGCAGTCAGGAAGTTCTTCCTCATGTTCGGGTGGAATCTCCTTTCCTGCAGTTTGAAGCCATTGTTCCGTTGTGTCCTGGTCTCCAGAGAAGCAAAAGCAATCCTGCTCCTCCTCCCTTTGAGTTCCCCTCACACATGTATACATGGCCCTCATCATGTCTCCTCTCAGCCTTCTCTTCTGCAGGGTAAACATGCCAGGTCTTTAAGCCGTTCCTCATAGGGCATGTTCTCCAGACCCTTGAACTTTTGAGTCGCCCTCTTCCTCTGGACACATTCCAGCTTAGAGTCAACATCTCCCTTCAATTGTGATGCCCAGAATTGGACACAGTGGGATTCCAGGTGTGGTCTGACCAAGGCAGAATAGAGCATGGGGAGCATGACTTCCCTGGATCTAGACACTAGGCTCCTATTTATGCAGGCCAAAATCCCATTGGTTTTTAAAGCTGCCGCATCACATTGTTGGCTCATATTTACCTTCCTCCCCACGAGGACTCCCAAGATCTTTTCCCCACATCCTGCGCTCGAGCCAGGCATCGTCCCCCATTCTGTATCTCTGCATTTCATTTTTCCTGCCTAAGTGGTGTATCTTGCATTTGTCCTTGTTGAACTTCCTTTTCTTAATTTTGGCCCATCATCTCTCTCATCTGTGAAGATCGTTTTGAATTCTGCTCCTGTCTCCTGTGGTATTGGTTCTCCCTCCCCATTGGTACTGCCTGCAAACTTGGTGATCCTGCCTTCTAACCCTTCAACCTGGAAGGCGCTCAACAGACTGTGCTCTGGCACCACGAGATGCAGAGCCAGGCTTAAGAAATGGGGCCATAAAGTGGAATACACAGCATGTGAGTGTGGAGAAGAGCAAACCACTGACCACCTGCTGCAATGCACCCTGAGCCCTGCTACATGCACAATGGAGGACCTCCTTGCGGCAACACCAGAAGCACTCCAAGGGGCCAGATACTGGTCAAAGGACATTTAATAGAATACCAAGCCTGTAAACTTTGTGTTGTTTGTTTGTTTGTTTTTAATGCAATACAACTGTTTTGGTTAGCTCCTGACACGATAAATACCTTACAACTAAGTCATTAATGAAGATCCTGAACAGGACCGGGCTCAGGATAGAATCCTGCTTCTGGCACTCCACTTGCCACTTCTTTCCAGGATGTCAGTGATCTGTGAGCTGTTCTGGAAGCTCTTGTGCCTCCAAAGCAAAGTATGAATAGTCCAAATAAAGAGCCATACCCTCCAGCTCCTGAGAGTTATATTCACTTTCTATTCTAGAGATCGAGGTGTTCCGTTCCCTCGGGGTCTGCAGCATCTTCCCCTAAAGACTGTACATAATTTCAGAGCAAAGAAGCCTGGTTTACTGTGCCAACACACACCAATCTAAATTAGAATTGTATTCAACACCAATTGTATTCAACACTGCAGGAGTGAAATGTTAACGGTTAGATGCAGAGATGTCCTGCACCTCCTGGGCTCCATCTCTGGTGCTCATCTATGCCTATCATGCCTCTTCCACAAATGGTGCAGTATGCTGACAGACTATATACATTGGGTTTCCCCAAACTCCAGCCCTCCAGTTGTTTGGGCCCCCAACTCCCAGAATTACTGACCACTGAACAAGATGGCAATAGGGGTTGCTGGGAGTTGGAGGCCCAAAGTCTAAGGATGCCTGCTATACAGTATGTCCCCTTTCCTTGACTTTGCAGGATGAAGCATATCTGGTCCATAAGAGCTGCATTGGAGGAACTAGAACATGCCTAGAATGGATATATTTTGTTGGAACTGGATAAGTGAAACTGCGACTACCAGTCCTACAGACACGGATTATAATGTATCTCAATTTCAAACTCAACCTCAGTTTCCAGTTACCCGCACAGGCTTTACCACAATCCTCATTCCACTCTTTACGAACCAATCCATCTGCCATGAAACCATGAACCTTAGGGAGGAAAACCAATGGCACCCAAACAGAGGAGAAGCCACAGCTGGCGATATTGGGCCCGGCAGAGCCAGGTGTGCCCATCGCTTCCATCATAATGTAGGGATTAGGGAAAAGAGGAATGAAGAAAGGACAAAAAGAAATAAAGAAAAATGGAAAATTATTAGATCAGCAAATGGGGTAGACCAGGGGTTCTCAAACTTTTTCAACAGAGGGCCAAACTGTTGGAGGGCCGGATTATAATTTGAAAAAACATGAATGAATTCCTATGCACACTGCACATATCTTATTTGTAGTGCAAAAACACTTAAAACAATACAATAATTAAATGAAGAACAATTTTAACAAATATAAACTTATTAGTATTTCAATGGAAGTGTGGGCCTGCTTTTGGCTGATGATATAGGATTGTTGTTGTGTGTACTTTCATGTCGTTTCAGACTTAGGTTGACTCTGAGTGAGGGCCGGGTAAATGACCTTGGAGGGCTGTATTCGGCCTCCGGACCGTAGTTTGAGGACATGGGGGGGGGGGGGCTGAGAGGGAGATAGTCAAAACAACAAAGCGAAGAGTTAAATGAGAAGAAGAGAGAGTTCAAAGGATGGGGCTTGATGACCTGCAAGCCACGAAGAAGGGAAATTGGTGATAAATTGCTGATGGGGGGATCAGAAGGGGAGGAAGGAGATGTGTGAATGACATTGTTTATGTGTGCATGCTTAAAACCTTTCGACTATAAAACTCTGGCATTTCCTTCCTTGGTTACCCAACAGAAAAAAGCTATACAAATAATTGTACAATTGTCCCTCAATAGCAGTCATGGGCAAACTTCGGCCCTTCAGGTGCTTTGGACTTCCAACTACTGGCTATTAGGAATTGTGGGAGCTGGACTCCAAAACACCAGGAGGGAGGATCCAAGCTGGCCTAGGCTTGGCCTAGGAGTTCTGGGGCTGCCTTAGACACAGCAGTGGGTCCCAATAATATGTTGGGAGTGTGAAATTCAACCACAAGTAGCAAAGAACTATGGGAAGAAAATACAAGAAATAATTGAGAAAATATGAAATATAAAAATACAACTGAAACCTGAATACATCCTATTAGGAATAATGGATAGAAGCAAATATATACTTTTAAACTACTTAGTGATGGCCACCAGAATTGTTTATGCAAGGTATTTGAGACCAAAAGAAATACCCTCAATGGAACAAAGGTTAATAAAAATATTGGTAATTATGAATTAACTAATGCAATTATGAGCAAAGCACCAAGGAAGACCTAAGAAAGTAACAGACTGGCAACCTTTGAAAGAGTGTAAAAAGGTAAAGGTAGTCCCCTGACATTAAGTCCAGTCATGTCTGACTCTTGGGTGTGGTGCTCATCTCCATTTATAAGCCGAAGAGCCAGCGTTGTCCGTAGACACCTCCAAGGTCATGTGGCTGGCCTGACTGCATGGAGCGCTGTTACCTTCCCGCCGGAGCGGTACCTATTGCTCTACTCACATTTGCATGTTTTCGAACTGCTAGGTTGGCAGAACTTGAAAGAGTGTATGATACGAGAAAAAAGAAAGATGATATAGTATGATGGAATAAAAAGAAAAATTATCTCACTAGGAAGAAGAGTGAAAAGGGGAAGACAGGACTAAAAAAGAAGGACTAAAGGGCAATAATAAACCATGATGAAGAATGGAAGTGGGCAAATTTCCCCTCCCCTTCATTCTTTTTTTCTTCTTCCTTCTTTCACCTTCCCTCTACGATGCTTCTTCCTTCTACAATACTTTATTACATGTAAATAACTTATTTTATCAAATAAAAATGAATTAAATATATGCCGGCATGGGCAAACTTTGGCCCTCCAGGTGCTTTGGACTTCCAACTACTGTCTGTTAGGAACTGTGGGATTTGGAGTCCAAAACACCTGGAAGGAGAGCCCAAGTTGGCCCATGCCTGCCCTAGGGACACAGCAGTGGGTCCCCTCAATATGTCCCTCCGCGCTCCCCTATTCCATCCTCTCACTCACCTGTCTGTGGTGGGTGAGGAGGGGGCATGGGGTGGTGCATGATGGCGTAGGGCGGCGGCTGCTGGTGGGAGGCCAAACCGGGGTGGCTGCCGGTCCCCAGGGGGTTCATGCCCGGCCCAATGGGGTGCTGGTGGGACTGCTGCTGCGCATTCTGGCTGTGCTGCTGCTGCTCCATCTGCTGCCGGGCGCGCAGCTCCGCGTACTTCAGCTGCTCCATGTGGAAGTTCTGGCGCTCCGTCAGCAGCTGCTGCCTCTGCTGCTCCAGCTACCGAGACAAAGAGGTTGACACCATCAATATATAGCCAAAGTCTTGCCAAGGTGCAAAAAACACACTGCATTTCTTGATGGTCTCTTTAAAATAGAGATCAAGGATCAGTTCTGGCAGGTACGTGTTGACTTCCAGAAGGCAGTTTCTAAGCCATCCAATATAATTCAATAGTCCATCTTCCAGTGGGAATTGACAACAAGGATCATGCAGAAGAGCTTAGTTCTTAGATACGTCTTTTTTATTTGTGTTTTTTCTACTTTCACAGTGATCCTGTGCTCCTGAACCCAGTGAATGTGGAAGGCTAACTGGGTATTTGTTGCATCTCTCACACAACTGGGCCCTAAGGCCTCAAACCTCCAATGCACCCAGAGGTATCTCCTCCCAGGATGCATATAACACATCATTATCATCATCATCATCATTCAAAACACAACAAGATTAGTACACAGCAAACAAGATCACTACGCTGGTTGTTGCACTGGAACGGACACTTCCCAATTGTCTAGGACTATGTGATGTGCCAGCGAATAATGCATGCAGATCCCAATAGGGTGGCCTTTTGCAGATGAGAGGTGGTAATTATGTCAACGCCAATTGTCTTTAAGTGCAGGCCAAGGTTTTAGGCACCGCACCCAGTGTGCCGATCACCACTGGGACTCCCTTGACTGGCTTGTGTCCGAATCTTTGCAGTTTAATCTTTAAATCCTCGTATCATGTCAGCTTATTATTGCCCTCTCCTTTTCCCCATGGGGACTCTTAACCCATTGCAATGGGCAGGGCTATCTGTGTCTCCAACTGGTTTTTATTACATGGTCAGAGGCAGGCCATCTTGCCTCAAGTGGAGCCAGCTCTGCCGCAACACAGAACAGCCAATGCAGTGCATTGCGCCAAGGAAACCCACACCCCTAAAGCAGGGAATAATGTGCAAAAATTGCACAGGTGTAATAGAAAGTCTCCATGGATCGGTTCACCTGCATCTTTCCAGGTTTCCCAATAATTGTAATGTGTTTTATTGTGGCTGAAAGGATAACAAGCATTAAGATGGTGGGATCCAGGCTGGATGGTTGAGTAGAGACCATAATAATCTCAGGTGGAAGAACCATGACCAGATATTCTCTGGGAGGGATTTACAAACTGTTTCTGTAAAGCTCAAGAAATGATTACAGAAACCCAGACAGACAATTGGCAGGTATAAAATGTGGCAGAAAGACTGAATGTTTTTATGTTGAATGTTTTTATATTGTGAAATGCTACTTTAAATTGTAAGTCGCTCGGAGCACCTTGGTGGAGAACGACAAATTAAGAAATAAAGTGAAGTGAAGTGAAGTGAAGTGAGATTCTGATTGGGCTGGATAAACTTTGCTATTTATGGAAGAGACATCGAATTATAGAATATATCATTTATTTATTTACGGCATTTGTAGCCCACCTTTCTCAGCCCTGAGCGAGGGCTGAGGAAATGACCTTGGAGGGCCGTATCTGGTCCCCAGGCCTTAGTTAAACATTGTTGGCTCATGTTTAACTAGTTGTCCACAAGGACCGCAAGATCTTTTTCACATGTACTGTTCTTGAGCCAGGTGTCCCCCATTCTGTATCTTTGCATTTCATTTTTTCTGACTAAGTGGAGTCTCTTGCATTTGTCCCTGTTGAACTTCATTTTGTTAGTTTTGGCCCATCTTGCTAATCTGTTAAGCCAGGTCTACCAAGCAAACATTTAATGACAATGATAACCAATGGAATTCCTCTACTTATTGATTTACTTTGAATCATAGAATCATAGAACCAAAGAATCAAAGAGTTGGAAGAGACCTCACGGGCCATCCTCCAGTCCAACCTCCTGCCAAGAAGCAGGAATATTGCATTCAAAGCACCCCTGAGAGATGGCCATCCAGCCTCTGTTTAAAAGCTTCCAAAGAAGGAGCCTCCACCACACTCCGGGGCAGAGAGTTCCACTGCTGAACAGCTCTCACAGTCAGGAAGTTCTTCCTCATGTTCAGATGGAATCTCCTCTCTTGTAGTGTGAAGCCATTGTTCCTTGTCCTAATCTCCATGGAAGCAGTAAACAAGCTTGCTCCCTCCTCCCTGTGGCTTCCTCTCACATATTTATACATGGCTCTCATCATGTCTCCTCTCATCCTTCTCTTCTTCAGGCTAAACATGCCCAGCTCCTTAAGCCGCTCCTCATAGGGCTTGTTCTCCAGACCCTTGATCATTTTAGTCACCCTCCTCTGGACACATTTGTTTTTATCACGCTTTCCCCTTAATAGAGGGATTCCTGGCAGTGCAGATGTATACACTTCATGGCCTGATGCTTTCAAGGGGGATCCTGCTGCAGCAGAGAGCCTTAAGACAGCACCCGGCGGATATGGAAATGCTGCAGGAATGGGAAGAGAACCAGCCCTTCCCCGACCGCGGCCGACTGTACGCTAATGCACGCTGTCACCATTCCTGGATTAACAAGGCTCTTATTTATGCAATATTGACTTAAGCACAATTAGGGCTGACAGCACTAAAATGGCTCCAGTTCATAAATTAAATCGCGTTATGTGTAAACCCTCCTCTATTCCCCAGTCACAACAGGGAGGAGAGCAGCCTTTGTTGTGGTCTGGAAAAGCCTGGAGAGCCTACGCTTTGCAAACGGCAAAAGCCAGGAGCATTTGGGAAGGAACACCCACAAATATTGCTCAAGCTGGGAGCACGTCTAGGTCTATGTGTATGCATAAAAGAGGGAAGAATACAACAGGCACGTTTCTCTGCTGCCAGAGCGCCTTTTCTCCCGAACAGAGGAAGTCTCCGGCTTAGCAACAGCCCTTTCCCTGCAAACCAATCGGCAAAGGGATTTGCCGGAGCGGAGCCGCGCAGCAGCAAAGCCGAGGGAGGCGTCAAGGCAGGTACGCATCAAAGCTCCTGCTCGGGCAAAGCTGGCAGAGAGAGAGAGACCAGCTTTCTGCACGCTTGCGGCTTAATCCAGATGAGGAAGGCGAGGAGGGAAACTTCAAATCTGTCCCGCTCACTTGTGAATGGCTGCAGCCTTTCATTCAGATCACTCAGGGATGGTGATGGCTGGGAAGCCTGCAGAGCGCTTCCTTTAATCCAAGCCTGGGCCAACTTTGGCTGCCCTCCAGGCATTCTGGACTTCAACTCCCACCATTCCTAACATCCCCAGGCCCTTTCCTTTTCCTCCTCAGCTGCTTATTAGAGAACACAGAAATGCTGGACCACTCTCAGACGACACAGAGAACCCATTGAAATCCACAAGCAGGTGGACAAACTATATAAATAAAAATGTAATGTTCGTTTTGGGATTAACATAACTCAAAAACTACTGGACAAATTGACATGAAATTTGGAGACAATACACCTAACAGTGCAACGAGTGTCCACCACACCTAAATACACACACACATGCAAACTCCAGCAGAACAGACTTAAAACCCCACAAAATACATCATATATACAGATACACATACACTCATATACATATAGCCATGTATAAATAGGTGAGAGGAAGCCACAGGGAGGAGGGAGCAAGCTTGTTTTCTGCTTCCCTGGAGACTAGGACGCGGAACAATGGCTTCAAACTACAAGAAAGGAGATTCCATCTGAACATGAGGAATAACTTCCTGACTGTGAGAGCCGTTCAGCAGTGGAACTCTCTGCCCCAGAGTGTGGTGGAGGCTCCTTCTTTGGAAGCTTTTAAACAGAGGCTGGATGGCCATCTGTCAGGGGTGATTTGAATGCAATATTCCTGCTTCTTGGCAGGGGTTGGACTGGATGGCCCATGAGGTCTCTTCCAACTCTTTGATTCTATTATTCTATGATTCTATATACACATGCACACATTCATACACACACACACACATATATATGCAAACACACCAATATACACATATACACACATACATATACATACACACAAATATACATACACACTTATGTACACATACATGCACACATACATATATACACATGCAACACATGTACACAATATGCATGTACACATATAAACACACAAATACACAGATATGTACACACACATATATACACCCACAGAAACACATATATACACACACAAAACACATGTACACAATATGCATGTACACATATAAACACACAAATACACAGATATGTACACACACACACATATATACACCCACATAAACACATATATACACACACAAAACACATGTACACAGACAGAGCCACAGCAACGTGTGGCAGGGGATGGCTTGTCTATATAAATAAAAATGTAATTTTCGTTTGTGGGATTAGCAGAACTCAAAAAACCACTGGACGAATTGACACCAAATTTGGACACAAGACACCTAACAACCCAATGTACGTCCTTCACTCAAAATAAATGATTTTGTCATTTGGGAGTTGTAGTTGCTGGGATTTATAGTTCACCTACAATCAAAGAACATTCTGAACTCCACCAATGACGGAATTCAATCAAACATGTCACACAGGACTCCCATCACCAATAGAAAACACCAGAAGGGTTTGGTGGGCATTGATCTTGAGTTTGGGAGTTGTAGTTCACCTACATCCAGACAGCACTGTGGACTCGAACAATGATGGATCTGGACCAAACTTGGCACGAATACTCCATATGCCCAAATATGAACACAGATGGAGTTTGGGGGAAATAGACCTTGACATTTGAGATTTGTAGTTACTGGGATTTATAGTTCACCCACAATTAAAGAGCATGCCGAACCCCACAAATGACAGAATTGGGGCAAACTTCCTACACAAAACCCTCATGATCAACAGAAAATACTTAAGGCCAACCAGTCCAATTCCCTTCACCAGAGCAGGAAAATGTAATCAAAGCCCTCCTGACAGAGAGCCATCCAGTCATAGATAGAAATAGATATATATGGTTCACACACACACGGACGTAGTATCCTAGATTTGAAAGGGACCCCTAAAGAAGGACTATGATATGTTGCATGTTCAGAGTAGGCAAACCAGACAATCTCCACATCAACACTGACAAAGGAACAAGAAATAGTGTTTATCCACAAGCGTCAAGACATTACATAGATTAGAAACCAATGCTTTCTCATTATTTTATTTTCCAGATCACCAGACTGGGCCACAGCAATGGGTGGCAGGGGATGGCTAGTAGTAGTAGTAGTAGTAGTAGTAGTAATAATAATAATAATAATAATAATAATAAATAAATAAACTTTATTTATACCCCGCCACCACCTCCCCAATGGGGACTTAGAGCGGCTTACATGGGGCCAAGCCCGGACAACATATTACAGCAAAACAAAACCAAAACATAAACAACAAGCTATATCATCAAAATTACATTTAAAAAAACATATGAATACAATAACAAAATAACATTACAATAAACACAGTTGCAGGAACAGTGGGTGGGCCACATGTAAAGGATATAATGTTAAAAAACTCTAATGAGATATGATTAGGAGCAAGTTATTTGCAAGGAGCTCATTTCAAATTTCACAATTTCAACTGAAAGAAGGAAACCATGAGAATGAACAAAATCTGGCTCCCAGAATTCCTTTTCTGAGATGAACACTCAGAAAAGGAATTCCAGACAAGCAACCATCAGTGACAGCTAACACCTCCCAACAAAGGATTCCCCCAGGCAACAACCAGCCAGGTTTTGAAGCTGCAAGGCCATTCAATGCTAATCGAGGTGGCCAATTGCAACATTCACACTTGCCTCCAGCAGACAAGAGTTCTTTCTCCCACCCTGGACATCATTCCACAGGTATATAAACCCCACTTGCCTTGTTTCCAACAGACCCCTCAACCTTTGAGGGTGCTTGCTATAGGTGTAGGCAAAATGTGAGGAGAGAATGCTGCTGGAACATGGCCAGACAGCCCGGAAAACTCACAGCAAACCAGAGATTCCAGCCATGAAAGCCTTCAACAACACATCATCATCATCATCATCATTATTATTCATATCCTACTTTTTCTCTCCACAAGGAGACTCAAAGTTGGGAGGGAACCCCAGAGGTCATTCATTCCAACCACTTTCTGCCATGCCGGAAGACACAATCTTAAGCCCTCCAAACCTCCAGAGAAGGACTCCCAGGTGGCCTATATTGCCTTCTTTTGGGGGAGAAGGGCGGCATATAGATGCCGGAAATAAATAAACAAACAAACAAATAAATAAATGGCCGGCCAGCCTCTGTTTATGAGGCTTTAGCCCCAGCTTGGAAAATCCCTCTTCTGGATTGAAACTCTCAGGATTCCCCATTCACAATGGTCACTGGGATTCTTGGCAACGGTATTCAACCATTTCTCCATGCCCTGGTTTTAGAGCAACAGGTGAAATGTCCCTATTGTAAGGGCATTATCACCCTCTTTTGATGCAAAGGGTCCATCCAAGACCGCAGTTTAATGGTTCGGGGGAGAAGGCCTAACTATTTTCAGGGAGAATGGGGTTTTTGGGAACCTCTTTGAGGGTATACATGGGATGAACATGCTCAAGCTTACCGCCTCTTTCTCTCTGTCCATGATGGTTTCCAGCTCCTCGAAATGGCGGAGTTTGATCTCCAGCTTCTTCATCTGTGTCTCAACCAGGAGGGCCACCAAGGACTTGATCTTCCTCTCCTCGACAGCCGCAAGATGCTGAGGGGGGAAACACATACATTCTGTGTGGTTTGGCAAGTCAGGCAGGGCAATGCAAACAGGAGAAGTGCACTAGATGTGTGATTCCGACAAAACATTCATGTTTTCACATCCCCTCTTTTTAACGGTGACCATCCTGAGATTTCTCCAGTCCTACTGAACCCTCTGATTTGATGTTAAGGCCTTTTGTAAAAATGTACACAAGTCGGCTTTGAAACTGCCTTAAGGTGCACAAAGGGAGGTGAATTGGGCGGTGACTGCTTTCTATGCTATTTACAATAATTTTCCCAGGGAACTTTCAAAGGACAAAGTGGCCTTTCCTCTATCCTACTGCATTTGTGACCGGGCCAGAGTGGTCATCTCCCGGTCACTGAATAATTGAATTTGAAACTATGTAAGTACATTATCTTGTTGCTTATTACAACAAATGAGCAAATTAGATTGCCACTGATGGAGTAACTTCATTCCGATGTTTCTACAAATTGAATCACTCGTGTTAGGAGATCCTAAGAGACCATTCACTGGGGTTTTGATTTTTGGGATTGCTCCCAAGATGGCCTAAAATGGGTATTTGGGTTGTTAATTGCGGTCACATTGGTTTTGAGTTACAAAAACCATACGAAGGGGAGCTCTGGTCCAATGGATGGCCCTGCTCAGCCTTTGCAAACTCAGTACACAAGTGGACTTCCTTGACTGAGGCAAGACCGTCTTCCCCTTCTGATATGGCAGGTATGGGCCAACTTGGGCCCTCCCTCCAGGTGTTTTGGGCTTCCACTCCCACAATTCCTAACAGCCTACTTGCTATTTATTTTATTTTATTTTATTTATTTACAGCATTTCTATTCGGCCCTTCTCACCCCGCAGGGGACTCAGGGCGGATCACAGTGTACACATATATGGCAAACATTCAATGCCAATTTTGACATACAAACATATACAGACATACACAGAGGCTGTTTAACTTTTTCTGGCCACCAGGGGAACTGTCGCTTTCATCATCCATCTGCGACGCTGATGAAGTGCTTCCGCATTCCCCGCATGCTTCCCCACATTCGGAGTCTTCTTTATGGCCTCATAAATCAGTTAATTTAGCCTCCCCACACTTTAAGGTGGTACCTAATTTTCCTACTTGACAGATGCAACTGTCTTTCGGGTTGCAAAGGTCGACAACAGGCTACACAATTGGTTGGAAACCCACTCCAACCCGGGCTGGCTTCGAACTCATGACCTTTTGGTCAGAGTGATCTTAGCAGCTGACACTCAGCCAGCTGCGCCACAATCCCGGTGCCCGATGGGTTGAAGTCCAAAACACCTGGAGGGAGGGGGGTGGGGCAAGTTGCCCCAGGCCTGTGATATGGCCAAGTACCACCATTGTTTTCCACCAGTCTGGCCTTCTCATAATACATAGGAAATCCCCCCCCCCCCCCATTGTGTCAGCTCCGCTGACTGACAGTCCATCTCCGAGCACAAGTCAAAGTGCTGGTCTTGACCTATAAAGCCCTATTCGGTTCTGACCCAACTGACTTGTCCGAATGTATCTCCCTCTATGCCTGCCTCAGACTTTAAGATTGTCTAGGGCAATGGTCCTCAACCTTTCAAACACCGTGACCCCTTAATACAGTTGTTCCTCATGTGGTGGTGACCCCCAACCAGAACCCTAACATGATGAATCGCCATGTAAATAATGATCTGCAGGATGTACTTTCATTCACTGGAGCAAATTTGGCACAAATACCCAGTATGCCCAAATTTGAATACTGGTGGGGTTGGTGGGGGGATTGATTTTGTCATTTGGGAGTTGTAGTTGCTGGGATTTACAGTGAACCTGCAAACAAAGAGCATTCTGAACCCCACCAACAATGGAATTGAACCAAAGTTGGCACACAGAACTCCCATGACCAACAGAAAATACTGGAAGGGTTTGGTGGGCATTGACCTTGAGTTTGGGAGTTGTAGTTCGCCTACATGCAGAGAGCACTGTGGATTTAAAGGAGGATGGATATGGATCAAACTTGGCACGGATACTCAATATGCCCAAATGTGAACACTGGTGGAGTTTGGGGGAAATAGGTCTTGACATTTGGGAGTTGTGGTTGCTGAGATTTATAGTTCACTTACAATCAAAGAGCATTCTGAACCCCACCAACGACAGAATTGGGCCAAAATTCCCACACAGAACCCCCATGACCAACAGTGTTTTGTGATGGTCCTTGGTGACACCTCTGACACCCTCTTGTGACCCCCCTAGGGGTCCCGACCCCCAGGGTGAGAAACACTGGTCTAGGGAGGCCCTGCTCTCGGTCATTCTCACCAGGAGATGCACCCTGCTGCCATTCCATCACAATGCAGCCTTGATTAGGTTTGGTGGGAGCTGACCAAGGTAGCAAAGCCATGTTTTGGAGAGGAAGCTCCAGCCAAGGAGTGGGAGTCGCAGGTGAGCCTTGGCGAAAAGTGGGGATTCTTTTCGTTGCCTTGGCAACCAGAAAACTGAGAATGGAGCTGGAAAAAAGTGTGAGTTTTGCAGTCTGTGCTGAAAGAAACCCACAAAGGCTCTCTGTCTTTCCAGCACTGAAAGCCCTGCACAAGAATCTGCTCCAGCCCCTCTTTGTCGCTGGAATGTGTTACGGTCTTCCTCCGCGGCATTTATTGGCTCATGCGGAAGGGTGCGCTTGGCCCAACGTTTGGGTCTTCAAACCCCCAAAAGAAAGCGGGTGTCTAATCCTGGCAAACAGGGAAAGAGTGGAAGCAGTTCCACACTATCTGGAAGGAATCCCTCTCCCTCTCTCTCTTTCCTTTGAGTGAGCCTACAATGGAAGCCTTAAATTGCTCCGGAGGGAAACAAATTTCATGATAAGATTCATCCAGCTGAAGCCGGGGAGCACAAGTGGCGCATTTTAAGGCGCAAGGGACAGGAACTGGCCCTGGTGCTCGGCAACAATGGGACTGTTTCAAAAGCGGGGCCGGAAATCGGGGTGCGCGGTGGACGTCCGGTCGGCACAGGACAAACCTTGGCTTTGGTGGCGGCGGAGGCGAGAGCGGCAGCTGCGGCCGTGGCCACGTTCCCTTCGGAGATTTCGTGCTCCACTCGCTTCTTCCCAGCGTCGCCCTCCTTGTCTTTGCAGACATCAAGGTTCTCCTTGTTCTCTTCGGCCTCCTTCTCATCTAGGTTGGAAAAAGGACCCCACGGTTAGTCACGGGCACCCCTTGGCCACCACTGCTGCCACCGAAACACCTCACGAGCTTCAGCCTAACTGATGTACCACCCAATTTGTGCAGTGCTTTTGGTGTAAACGAGAATAGAAGGAGAGAGAGTAAGGAAAAGCATGCGCTGTATATACTTGTGTACAGACAATCCCTGGGTTACAGGGTTGTTCTTAAGTTGAATTGGTATGTAAGTTGGAACAGGTACATTTTAAAGTGTAACTCCACCCAAAGATGTATGTATGTGTGTGTTTGTGTGTGTGTGTATGTACACATGCATATATACATATACATATATATATACATACATATACATACATACATACATACATAGAATCATAGAATCCAAGAGTTGGAAGAGACCTCATGGGCCATCCAGTCCAACCCCATTCTGCCAAGAAGCAGGAAAATTGCATTCAAAGCACCCCCAGCAGATGGCCATCCAGCCTCTGTTTAAAAGCTTCCAAAGAAGGAGCCTCCACCACACTCCGGGGCAGAGAGTTCCACTGCTGAACGGCTCTCACAGTCAGGAAGTTCTTCCTCATGTTCAGATGGAATCTCCTCGCTTGTAGTTTGAAGCCATTGTTCCATTGCGTCCTAGTCTCCAGGGAAGCAGAAAACAAGCTTGCTCCCTCCTCCCTGTGGCTTCCTCTCACATATTTATACATGCTATCATATCCCTCTCAGCCTTCTCTTCATATACATATACATATATATTTATAAGCTTTGGATCACATAGGGAAGGATGAACACTCCTGAAGTTTGTTGTACATTTTTCAAGCTGTATGGTCATGTTCCAGAAGCATTGTCTCCTGACAACCTCTGAGGATGCGTGCCATAGATGCAGGCAAAACGTCAGGAGAGAATGCTTCTGGAACATGGCCATACAGCCCAAAAATCTTACAACCCAGTGATTCTGGCCATGAAAGCCTTCAACAATACCCCTGTGGTGTTTCTTTTGTTGTCTGTGTCCCTGTTCAGAAGATTTCACCACACTTTCTGTCCCCTTAATTATTGAATTTTGGAAATTTTGCTTGCTGTGGAAACAAGGACTGGAGATAATGACTGTTATGATAATTTGGTTATAATTAATTGCTAATGTTTTAACTCTGTATGTCTTTATGGTTTTATACTGTGTTATTGATTTGTGGCATCAAATTGCTGCCTTTGTTAGCCGCTCTGAGCCCCCCCCCCCTTCCCGGGTTGAGAAGAGCAGGGTGAAAATGCTGTAAATAAAATAAATAAACAAATAAAGCTTCAAAGGAGGCATCTTTTCCCCATGATAATAACTCTTCCAGGAGTGGATTTCCCTTCCTTTTGCAGGGCAATTTCCTCTCCCTTCCTGTGGTTTTTGCCCGTTTGTTACTTTTGCTGTTTGTAATTCGGGGACTACCTGTATACGGCGACATATTTATTTATTTATTTACCATATTTGTACCCCGCCCTTCTCACCCCAGAGGGGTCTCAAGGCGGCCTTACAACAGGCAGCAATTCAATGCCATACACACATATATTAAAAATAAACAATTACAATTAGAACTAAACAATTAAAACATCAATGAAAATTATGTCACTCAAATCATAATTCAGGGCCATTCCAGCAGCTTGGACTGTCATTCCTTTTAATGTCTTATCGAATGTTTGGTCAGACTTAATGCCATGCAAGGCTGGGTTCTCTGACAGTCTCCAGAGCCGGGACTTGGGATCAGGGCGCCTGACTCTCGCCTTGGTTTTACAGACAAAGTTAATGAGGTTCTTCTCAGAAGGGGCATCGCTGTTCTGCATTGTTTCCATTATTCAAATGGATCTCCTCTCAGCCTCAGTGCTAAAAGCTTTTATATATATAAACATGTTTCAACTAGTACCCCCCTTCCATATCTGCAGAATATATTGTCAGAAATATTAAAAACTAACTAGGCATTTTTAATTACAAAAATCTGAGTCAAGCACTGTGAGGATTAAATGGATACAACGATTCAGCTGTAGTTCAATGTAAGCAGGTATGACTGTAGCTTAGTAGCCCTCAGTCTGTGAGAGCTCACTGTGGGAGAAGGGCCTCAGTGTGTTAGTAGGTCTCAGTATGAGTACACCTCAGTGTTAGTTCACCTCAGTGTGAGAGGCGTCAGCCTGAGGGAGCCCTCAGTGTAAGCAAACCTCAGTGAGAGAAACCTCAGTGTGTTTGTAGGCATCAGTATGAGAAGGCCTTAGTGTTAGTTCGCCTCAGTCTGAGAAGGCCTCAGTGGGAGAAGGCCTCAGTGGGTGAAAGGCCTCAGTGTGAGGTATGCCTCTGTGTTAGAAGCCCTCAGTATGAGAAGGCCTGGTGTGAGAAGCTTCAGTGAAAGGAAGCCTCAAGTTGAAGGCCTCGTGTACAAAGCTCCTGTGCAAAGCTCCAGTGTGTATGCTGCTGTGTAAAAAGCTACGGTGTGAAGCTCCTGTGTAACTTCAGAGTGAGAAGAGGCTCTGTGAGAGCAAAGCTGTTAATCTGCATGAGAAAGAAGCCCAGAATGGAAGCAAAGAAGAACTTTATTTGTGTTATGGAAACCTTCTTGTAAATAGTACAACCATATTGTTTTGCTATAAAGAAAAGTCTCCTATGAAAGAGACAACATTGGTCTGTGTGATTTTGTTCTTTTTATCACTTTTGGCTACTGGTGCTGGGTCACACTGCTGCTAATTATTTAATCTGCTGTACATTTATGAGGGTCTTTCGTTAATAAGCCCACATGCCCAACATATATGACCCTGAACTTTGTGTGCAGATGTGTGAAAACATGGATAACAGCAAAACCTACTGAACTAATGCATTTCTGGCCCCAAAATACCAGAGAGGCTCTAGAAAAGCTCTGGAGGGGATTTATTTTTTTGTCAGACATGGATCAATGAAACGAAGGGTGCCAGTCCTTGAATGGGAGGGTCATCCTCTAGTTTGAATTAATTTAAATGACAGCGTTCGCATTGAGAGAGGTACAGAGAATACCACGAGATGCTCAAGAAGTGACTCCTTCCCTTGGGAACATGAACGAAGTACAAACGAATACTCTGCTTGCCCATTCCCTCATGTATCGAGGATGGAGCAAGGTCTCAGCAATGGGAAGAAGGAACATATTCAAATTCATATTAGTCTGGGTTGGTTTAGCTCTGCACTTGTTCCCAAATGATACAGTCAAATGTCCAACCTGTACTAGAACATTATGAAAAACTATTTAAACTCGATGTAAACTAGGATGGGGAGGGAAGCTACCATGTCCTACCTGTCTTAGAGTCCTGAGTGGCTTCCCCATCCTGTTCCTTTTCGGCACTTCTCTCCTCCTCTGCTTCCTGGGCCTTGTTTCCATCTCCTGCTTCATTCTCTCCTTTGTTTTCTACCTATAGTGTGGGAAACAAGGAAAAAAAACCCCTTGACAACATGAACATTGTCTTTCCATACATAACCATGGATGGCTGTAGAAGCTGAATCCCACTTTAACAGGATCCAGTTCTACCAATATGAGTTGCTGGTTGTACAAACACAAACTCTGAGGCACACAAAGAAACATTTCAAAGAAGCAGTTGTGTTAGTCTCCTGCAGCATAAAAACAAGGGAAGACAGGAAAAAAGATAGGTAGCAATACTTTTAAAACAGTGGTTCCCAATCTGTGGGACAAGAGACCTAAAATAAGATCTGCGGTTGGGTGTGTGTGCTGCCATTAGAGGAGAGGGAGAGAAGGAAGGAAGGAGTCCAGCACCCTTTGCGGCTTCCCCAGTGCGCCGTTGGAGGAGACTGAGAGAGAGAAGAATCCTCTAAAGAAATTCTATCTATCTATCTATCTATCTATCTATCTAATGTCAGGAGTGACTCGAGAAATTGCTTCTGGTGTGAGAAAATTGGCCGTCTGCAAGGACGTTGCCCAGGGAATGTTTCCCACATGTTTTTGATGTTTTACCATCCTTGTGGAGGCTTCTCTCATGTCCCTGCATGGGGAGCTGGAGCTGACAGAGGGAGCTCATCCGTGCTCGCCCCAGATTCGAACCTGCAACCTGTCGGTCTTCAGTCCTGCCGGCACAAGGGTTTAACCATTTGTGCCACTGGGAGACTCATAATAATAATAATAATAATAATAATAATAATAATAATAATGATAATAATAATAATAATAAGCTCCCATTGCCACAGATCAGTTGTAATGGGAAAGCAGCCCTTTGTAAGACTTTGTTTAGTCTCCCAAAGTAGTAGTAGTAGTGGTAGTAGTGGTAATAATAATAATAATAATAATAATAATAATAATAAGCTCCTATTGCCTGTTCCTGGGGTTATTTGGGGTGCTGATTCAGAAAATTGCATTGGATAGACCACATCAGTTCTAGGTTATTAAAGCAAAGCAAAGACCACCAGCATCGAAGCGATGATCCTCTGCCACCAACTCCGCTGGACCGGCCATGTTGTCCGGATGCCCGACCACCGTCTCCCAAAGCAGCTGCTCTACTCCGAACTCAAGAACGGAAAATGGAATGTTGGAGGACAGGAAAAGAGATTTAAAGATGGGCTCAAAGCCAACCTTAAAAACTCTGGCATAGACACTGAGAACTGGGAAGCCCTGGCCCTTGAGCGCTCCAGCTGGAGGTCAGCTGTGACCAGCAGTGCTGTAGAATTTGAAGAGGCACAAATGGAGGGTGAAAGAGAGAAACGTGCCAAGAGGAAGGTGGGTCAAGCCAACCCCGACCAGGATCGCCTTCCATCTGGAAACTGATGTCCTCACTGCAGGAGAAGATGCGGGTCAAGAATAGGGCTCCACAGCCACCTACACACTCACAAGAATTCTGATCCTGGAAGACTATCCTACTCGGCCAACGAGGGATCACCTAAGTAAGTATTAAATATGGTATTCTGTGGATGACTACTGGATGGCATATGTTCTGTATCAGAAACTAGAGCTGATGCAGTCTATCCAATGCAATTTACTGAATCAGCACCCCAAATAACCAAGCAGAATCTAAAGTTGACAAAAAACTGATTTGTAATCCTTTTGGTATTAATGCTGGAGAGAGGTCTCTCATCAATGTGGTCCCTGCTCAAAAAAAGGTTGAGAACCACTGTTCTAAAACCATGCGTTTTCTTTCTTTTTTGAATGAGTTTTCATGGGTTTAAACCAGGCATGGGCAAACTCCAGGTGTTTTGGATTTCAACTCCCACAGTTCCTAACAGCCTCAGGCCCCTTCCTTTCCCTTTTTCCTTTCCACTTAAGCAGATGAAAGGGAAAATGAAAGGGTCCGAGGTTGTTGGGAATTGTGGGAATTGAAGTCCAAAACAGCTAGAAAGCCCAAGTTTGCCCATAACTGATATTAAACCCACTTCTTTTGTGGATATAAAGTGGCTATACAGCTATGAAACCTTGTGCACAAAGAAAAAAACTGTTTGTTTTGAAGGTGCTGCCACATTTATTTTATTTCCTTCCTCCTTTTCATGAAAATAAAGAGATTGAGACACTACAAAGAGCTATAAGTGTGAGATGCACAAACTGCAACTGATGTCACACACACAAAAGAAAAAGGTTAGCAATTACTTTCTTATTGAGAAAGATTCTCAATAAATCCAGACTAGGAATGAACTGCTTGCAATCCTCCATTAATTGTCCCCTTTCATTTAAGTTTCTCTTGCCCACCAACACCAAATATAATGAACTGACGTTCAACGGCACCAAGTCAACTTCGTCATATTCATGGCTATATCTGTGCATAGAGAATGAATCATCAAAGCCATCAGATAGATGTCTGCACTTTCAACTGGTACCTGCTCAAACCACTTCTCTTTGCCACGAACGCCCAGGAAGCGGTAGCTTTTATTAATGTAGAGTTGCTAAGAAGGCAGCGAATTGAAAAAGAGGCAGCCAGCATGGCATTGGGAACTCATACATTCAAACTGGTTGTTAAAAAAGGATTATATTTAATTGCAAAGGTTCTAAGGGAAAGAAATGCTTCCCAATGAACTCATGACAGGAATCACCTGGTTTCATTCAACAAAGAATTGTCAAGGCCTGCAGCCACCAGTTTCTATGCAGATGCCCTGAAAAAACCTTTACCCTTTAAAATGAAACCCTAACAAAGCCATGAACAATAATGCAAGTGAGTAAGAGCCACAAAAAAATCCATGTTGTTTGAATCTTATTAATAAACTAGCTTGGAGAACCGACAATGTCCGGGTTATTTGAGAAAGGCATTGTTTGGGTTGTGGTAGGTTTTTCAGACATTCACACCTACCTCCAACAGACAGGAGTTCTTTCTCACACCCTAGATTTTCCACAGATATATAAACCCAATTTTCCTAGTTTCCAACAGAACTCACAACCTCTGAGGATGCCTGCCAGAGATGAAGGCTTCTAGAACATGGCCATACAGCCTGAAAAACCTACAACAACCCAGTGATTCCGGTCATGAAAGCCTTCGTCAATACAGCATAGAATTCACTCTCTTTGGCACAAGTGAATTCATAGTTATGATCGATAGTCATAGATAAATGAATTCATAGATATGAGTCCCCTGGTTATGAGGGACTCGCTTGACCAACCAACCAACTCCATGATCCTGTGATGCTGGGGCTCGGTTGTTTAGAATACGAAAACATCTTAGTGATTAATATATTTGGATCGTGAAAAACCGAACCAAAAAATCTGCATAGGCAGTGTCCAGACCTTGATTTTGTCTGCCTGCGGTTCCTCCGCCTCCGTCTCCATCTTCTCTTGCTCAGGTCCATCTGTAAGGCAGAAAACCAAGGCTCAATAAGAAGCAGCAGGCTGCATAGCAATAGCAAAAGTCCATTATCATCATCATCATCATTATCTGTATTTATATACCGCTTTTATTGCTTGCATGCTGGTTGCTCTTGCTTGCATGCTCAGTGTGGAACACATCTCACCACACTAAAACAGTGGATGTGGCTCTTAATGAGACATGCCGCATGATCACAGGGTGTCTGTGCCCTACACCACTGGAGAAATTACACTGCTTAGCCGGTATTGCACCACCTGACATCCGCCGGGAAGTAGCCAATAGTGAAAGGACCAAGGCAGAGACATCTCCAGCTCATCCCCTGTTTGGGTATCAGCCAGCACGTCAACGACTTAAATCAAGAAATAGTTTCTAAGATCTACAGAGACACTCGCTGGAACACCTCAGCAAGCGAGAGTCCAAAAGTGGCAGGCTCAAACCCAGAACCTCAACGAATGGCTGATACCAAATGAGAGACTCCCCCCTGGGCACACAGAGGACTGGGCGACTTGAAAGGCGCTGAACAGACTGCGCTCTGGCACCACAAGATGCAGAGCCAACCTTAAATGGGGCTACAAAGTGGAATCCTCGACATGCGAGTGTGGATAAGAGCAAACCACTGACCACCTGCTGCAATGCAACCTGAGCCCTGCCACATGCACAAGGGAGGACCTTCTTGCAGCAACACCACAGGCACTCCAAGTGGCCAGATACTGGTCAAAGGACATTTAATCAACTACCAAACTCACACATTTTGTATCTCCTCTGTTTGTTTGCTTTGTTCTGTTAGAAATGTAATATAACTGACTGGCTGCCCTCACACGAGAAATAAAAATACCGCTTTTCTCGCCTCGGGGAGACTCAAAGTGGTTTACAGCAAATAATGGCAAAATTCAATGTCTCACATACATATAAACCAAATCACAGATCTAAACAAACATATAACTGAACATTAAAATCAATAAGGTAATTAAATATAAGATAAAACAATTAGACATGAAGACACAAAAATTAAAACCGCCAAATAAAAACATTATAATCATCCGATCCAAACTCATAGACTGGGGCCATTCCAAATGTAGCTTGCACATATTCCATATTTACAGTGTTCCCTCACTTATTGCGGGTGTTATGTTCCAGGACCACCCACAAAAAGTGAAAATCCGCAAAAATCTCAGGAATGGGAACTCTCTCTAAACACGAGATTCATTTGTTTTTCCTACACCACTTATACATATAGCCCATAAGTCATTTTATACTCAATATTTTTAATAATTTTGTGCACAGTGCAAGGTTTGCCTACACTAAACTACCAAAAAGCAAAGATGTCACTGTCTCAGCTACTGATGGAAACATTTGGGGAGGATTCCGGAATGCAAAAAAAGCAATCCTCCTTACCTAATAGTAGCTGTTCAAAGCTTGGCTCATCCTCAAGGAAAGTAAAAATACGGAGGTTTATATCCCAGGCAAGACAAATCTTACTGTAAATATCAGAAACCCATCAATGCTACATTCCTCCTGGTGTAATCCCTCTCCAATAAATAACAACAACAATAATAAAACTTTATTTATACCCCGCTACCATCTCCCCAAGGGACTCGGTGCAACTTACATGAGGCCGAGCCCACAATACAAACAATACAAGCAATAACAGGTACAATACAAAGCAATTAAAAAATAAATCACATACACAAATAGCATAAACATTAAACAAGGTACAGGAAACTATTGGCCACATGGCTTAGGAACACAGAATCATAGACTCCTAAAGTTGGAAGTGATCTTGTGGGCCATCCAGTCCAAACCCATTCTGCCAAGAAGCAGGAAAATCACAATCAAAGCACCCCGACAGATGGCCATCCAGCCTCTGTTTAAAGCCTCCAAAGAAAGAGCTTCCACCACACTCCGGAGCACAGAGTTCCACTGCTGAATAGCTCTCACAGTGAGGAAGTTCTTCCTCATGTTCAGGTGGAATCTCCTTCCTTTCCTGTAGTTTGAAGCCTTTGTTATTATGCATCCTAGTCTCCAGGGCAGCAGAAAAGAAGCCTGCACCCTCCTCCCTAGGACTTCCCCTCACATTTTGATCCATAGCCCTCATCCTGTCTCCTCTCAGCCTTGTCTTCTGCAGGCTCAACATGCCCAGCGCTTTAAGCTGCTCCTCATAGGGCTTCTTCTCCAGACCCTGAATCCTTTGAGTCACCTTCTTCCTCTGGACACATGCCAGCTTAGAGTCAACATCTCCCTTCAGTTGTGATGCCCAGAATTGGACACAATGTGATTCCAGGTGTGTCTGACCAAGGCAGAAGAGAGCATGGGTAGCATATACATCCCTGGATCTAGATACTAGACTCCTATTGATGCAGGCCAAAATCCCATTGGCTTTTTTAGCCGCCGCATGGCATTCCTGGCTTGGGTTTCCCTTCCTCCCCACGAGGACTCCCAAGATCTTTATTACATGTCCTGCTGTCAAGTCAGGCATCATCGTAAAGCATCGTCCCCCATTCTGTCTCTTTGCATTTTCTTTTTTCTGTCTCAGTGGCATATTTTGCATTTGTCCCTCTTGAACTTCATTTTGTCAGTTTTGGCCCATCTCTCTAACACGAATGAAGCCTGTAAGCTGAAGTCCATCACCCAGAACTCAGGTCAAATGTGAAGAGGGCCAATGCGCCGGAGGATATGTTTCTGAAAGGGAAGGCATAGGAATGGCTGGGGATCTCTCCCTGGAAGGACAGCGATGAGAGAGGCTTGTGTGCCAGCCAAAAGCCAGCCAGGACACTTCCCTTCCTTCCTTCTTTCCTTCGGCTCCTATAGCGATGTATAATGTGTTTTTAACTGCTTTTTGATGTTGCTGTGCTAATCCTTTACTATGTAAACCGCCTTGAGTCGCCATTTCGGCTGAGAAGGGCGGTATAGAAGTAAAGCAAATAAATAAATAATAAATAAATAAATCTGAGTACAACAACCAAAGCACTGTTTTCAACTTAAGAAGCTTGTTGTGGGCCTGGCCTCCCTAGAGCATTTCTGACGGTCTTTCGAGTTGGATCGATCGGGGTTAAGAGCCTCTCATTAATACTTTTGCATGATTAAAAGGATGGTGGATTGATCTGGACAGAAAGCTCCCAGTGGATCCAAGGAGCAGAGCAGAGTCATCGTCCCACTGGATTCTGCTTTGGTCAGGCTTTTTCACCCGGAATAATAGCCCTCCGTCCAGTTCTGGGCAAGAATGAGGGGGGCAGGATGGAAGGGGTCCAGAGAAGGAAGAACAAAATGGGCAAACATCTGGAAGCTATGAATCCCGCTGAGGAAAAAGCTTAGAGATCTGGAGATGTTTAGCTTGGAGATGGAAGGTCGAGAGAATGGGATGTGAGAGCTGGGATTCAATATTTAGAAGGAGGTCCCATTGAGGAGGAAGGAGATAGGCTTGTTTTCTGGAGACCAGGACACAACAGGGTGAAGCATTCAAAATGCAGGAAGAGATCCCACCTAAACATTAGGAAGAATCAATGTTTTGTCGAAGGCTTTCACGGCCGGAAGTCTACATAGGGACCACCAAACGCAGCTGCATTGCCCAAACACGAATCAAGGAACATGAAAGGCACTGCAGACTGAGTCAAGCAGAGAAGTCAGCCATAGCAGAGCACACGATGAACCCACCTGGACACAGCAGATTATTTGAGAACACAGAAAAGCTGGACCACTCTCACAACCATCATGTCAGGCTACACAGAGAAGCCATTGAAATCCACAAGCACGTGGACAATTTCAACAGAAAGGAGGAAACCATGAAAATGAACAAAATCTGGCTACTGGTATTAAAAAACTCTTAAATCATATCAGTAAATAAAGGACAACACTTAAAAACTGGGGAATTCCAGGCAATAAACAATCTAGGACAGCGAATCACCTCCCAATAAAGGATTTCCCCAGGCAGTAAGAAGCCTGGGGGAATCCTTTGTTGGAAGGTGATTAGCTAGAAATTAGGGCTATGCTACTCTGCTGCTGGGTACTCATGCCCAGTGTGGAACACATCTCACCACGCTAAAACAGTGGATGTGGCTCTTAATGAGACATACTGCATGATCACGGGGTATCTGCGCCCTACAACACTGGAGAAATTACACTGCTTAGCCGGTATTGCACCACCTGACAACCGCCGGGAAGTAGCAACCAATAGTGAAAGGACCAAGGCAGAGACAACTCCGGCTCATCCCGTTTGGATATCAGCCAGCACGTCAACGACTTAAATCAAGACATAGTTTTCTTAGATCTACAGAGACACTCGCTGGAACACCCCAGCAAGCGAGAGTCCAAAACTGGCAGGCTCAAACCCAGAATCTCAATCAATGGTTGCTACCAAATGGGAGACTCCGCCCTGGGCACACAGAAGACGGGGCGACTTGGAAGGCGCTAAACAGAATGCGCTCTGGCACCACAAGATGCAGAGCCAACCTTAAGAAATGGGGCTACAAAGTGGAATCCATGACATGCGAGTGTGGAGAAGAGCAAACCAGATCACCTAATGCAATGCACCCTGAGCCCCGCTACATGCACCATGGAGGACCTCCTTGCGGCAACACCAGAGGCACTCCAAGTGGCCAGAAACTGGTCAAAGGACATTTAATCAACTACCAAGCTTGCAAACTTTATGTTTTGTTTATTTGTTTGTTAAAAATGCAATACAACTATTTGGTTTGCTCCTGACACGATAAATAATAGCAAGAAGCCACACCCTAAAACTGCTGGGCCATCAAATGCTAATCAAGGTGGCCAATAGCAACATTCATACCTACCTCCAACAGACAAGAGTCCTTTCTCCCACCCAGGACATTCCACAGAGATATAAACCCCACTTTCCTAGATTCCAACAGACCTCACCACCTCTGAGGATGCCTGCCATAGATGCAGGTGAAACGTCAGGAGAGAATGCTTCTGGAACATGATTATACACCCTGGAATCCACGCAAGAACCCATTAGGAAGAATCTCC